AAAAAAAAACCATCTTTATCCACATCACATATGTTCTTCATAGACTAAGACACCTGTTATCAAACTAAAAGCAGACAGAAAAACAAAACACACCACCACAAAAAAAAAACCCACACCACAAAAAAAACCAAAACCCCACAAACCAACAAACTTACATTTACCTTGATCAAGGACCTTTGGAAAAGACAAAAGTTCAAAAACCAGCCTAACTCCCATTTTGAAAAATTGTTTCAGGTTATGAACACTCTCACTTCTGAATATACAAAGATGCTTACGAAAACCTTGCCAATAACTCACAGGATGAGAGAGTAATTTGCTTGATCCATTTCGTATTTCACTGAAACCATAACTTTTAAAAAATTCCTAACTTAATTTTCACAGCAATCTAAGTTGTAGGCTAACTAGCAATCAAACCTATCAATAAGTCATGACATTCAGCATTATTAAACACCTGACAAATTAAGTACCTCAATTAACATGCTGAGTGAATTAGTTCACTCAAATGAACAAGACCTATTTGTCTCTTAATCTGAGATTCCCAAGATCAAACCATCAAGTCTCCCACTGTTTGTCAAAGCCACAGCAAGGAGTGAAGGAAAAGAGGAGCAAGGCATTGCTCTGTCCTGGCTCTGGCTAGGAGGGGAAAGGGAATTTAATGAGGACTAACATTCCCAAATCCCAAGGAAAGGGATGACCAGGAAACATCTCCACAGGGGCCAGACCAGTTACAACCAAAGTTTGTTTACTCAAATTCGAGTATCTCTTCACATTACCATGTTCAAACAGCTCCCATACATGAGTGTAGGTGCAGTACAAAGAATTGTATATGCATCAAAATAAAATAGATCCACAGAAGAGTTGAGGTTGGGAGGGATCTCTGGAGGTCAACTGGTCCAAGCCTCCTGCTCAAGCAGGGCCACCCAGAGCCAGCTGCCTAGGACCATGTCCAGATGGCTTTTGAATTCCTAAGGAGGAAGACTCCACAGCCTCTCTCACAGTAAAAAGTGTTTCTTGCTGTTCAGATGGCACCTTCTATGTTTCAGTTTGTGCCCATTGCCTCTGGTCCTGTCACTGGGCACCACTGAAAGGAAGCCTGGCTCCCTCCCTCCAGGTATTTATATACACTGATGAGATCCCCCCAAGCCTTCTCTTCGCCAGGTTGAACAGTCCCAGCTCCCTCAGCCTTTCATCATAGGAGAAATGCTCCAGTCTCTTCATCATCTTTGTGGCCCTTGTAGCACACGCACATCAGCTCATTATGTATTTAATGCTACTAGTTGTCTCAGGTCTCTGGGTCCTTCATTAATTTACTTTTCACAACTTAAAGATGCCAGAAAAGTCAAGTGGATTTTTTCTTTTCTAAAGCCAGAAATAACCTCCTTAAGTCTTAACAGTTCAACTCTAGACTTCTGGAACAAGAAAAGTATCATCCTGCAACTTTAAGCATAACGCAGAAGATATCAGACATGAATAGCATGTCTATCACTTGTTTTTACATTAGCACATCTAAGAAATTTCAGTGAACAGTTTAACAGGAATTATTTTAAATTAACAGATTTATTTTCTACACTGACACGGCTGGGACTTCTGTATTTTGTCAGTGAAATCACTGAGAAAACTACTGACTTCAGTGAAGCACCTGTGAGCCCTATAATTAACTCCCCTTTCCCCACAGGCTAAGTGACATTATTTACCAACCATAAAATGAACGATCAAGTCAAAAGAGACAGTTACCTAGAAACCTTAAAAACATTGTCATCAAATCACCTGTGCAAGCACTCCTTACGTAGTTCTTAGCTAATGGTAGCCAAATGCTTTAAGGAAAAACCTTGTGGCATTTGGGGTTTTGTCTTCTAAGACAAGTAGCAATTTCACAACCATAGAAGAAAGAGAAGAATTTCTAAGAAAAAAAAAAAATTAGCACCACATCAGTTACCAAATGCAAATTCATTGGAACTGAGAACATGCTTAAACACATTTTTCAGTTTCACAATTAACTGAGCCATGAAAGCATCAAATAAGTATTAAGATAGCTTAGTCGTAAATTAAAAGATATGAGCTTTTGAACCATTCAGGAGAGCTAGTGTTATCACTCCATCTTTCATTTAAAGTACCATCATTTAAATAAGACCTAAGTATAAAAATAATTGATCAATTTTAGTTAAATCCAAGTCTCAGGTAATTCATTTTCTGCTAATTAACTTTATTCTAGAAGTCGCTAAAATATATGATCAGTTCTGGTCAGTTCTTCCTGCTCCCCCACTCCCCTGGGTTTTTACCTTTTTTCTTTCTTTTTCCCCTGCTCGCTTTTCTGTTGTTCAAGTAAGGCTTTCATCTTTAACATACCATGTATTGTCAAAATCAACCTAGAAGCAAGAGCTGCAAAAGGTTCGGTTCCCTCAGGAAAATCACAAAGGTAGGAACCTTGTAGAGCAGAGACTTTTAGGATCCAATGAAAGTACATTAGGAAAGCAAGAGAGGTTTAGAAGAGCATCAGTATCGGACTTGAAAGTTTGCTTTGGTTTATAAAAAAAACCTCTCCTTGCTTCAGATAAGGAAAGCCGGTATACCCAGCACATAGACTGCTTATCAGTTCAGCTGCCAAGACCTTCAGCTGTCTCTTATTTGTTTAAACAATTTTTAGAGAGGCTGGAGAGACTGAGGAACTATATTAGGGGGTGGGGGAAGCAGAAAGGAGAGGGATAATGATGTTCCCAATCCATACACTCATGAAGTCTGCAGGACAGCAAGCAGGGCAGAGAAAAGAAGAGGCAAACTTCATTCACTGAAGTAATTTAGATAATAGACAAAAATATTTTATACAATACACAAGTGCTTTTCCAATACAAAAGTCACTTGAAACCATGTTTACATCACACATAGGTATTTGATGTTCTACAGTCTCCAAGTTTAAGAAGCTTATGAACAATGCAGATAACCTCTAGCTAGCTAGGACTGCCAGCCAATGGGTCCCTCTACAACATACAAAGTAAATCCCAAAACTTGGGCTATGCAGGTATACGTAAGTACTCTGATTAGCTGTATATATACACACACACCCCAGTAAAACATTGACAGGGCTCTTCTCCAATCCTGAAGTCACATGGTACCAGCTGCATCCTACTATACAGCCCTTAACTTTAAATCTCCCCTGGGCTCCATGTGACACATTTGTACCCTGAAGACATTTAGGTGGGGAGGGGAGTCATTCAGATCAGTTTCTGTTCAGACTGCCAAACAGAAAGCTCTAAGTAGCACTTTCATGAAAGAAAATTAAGAGTACATGGTGCATTCCTTCAGTAAAAGGTACAGACATACAGGGACACCAAGAGGCATCACCCCTTCTGGCATACTGTGGCAATGGAGGGAGCAAACCTTGTAGTCTTGCCTATATCACCTATTAGAAGTGGCTCCTGGAGCTTCCCATACAGCACCCAAGCACTTGTCCACAACTTGAATAACAAATTACTCCATTTGTTACACTTTTTTCCCCACTGAAAGAAGAGCTTTCTAGTTTTATCCAACAGTATATCAATTCATACTGTGATAGAGCAATATAAGGCCAGTAGTCAAATCTACGTTTTACCGTCCCAACTGTGCAGTAATTAAGAGCAATGTTAGCACAGCAAACATTTCAGCAGATCAGACCATGCAGTTAAACCAGCTGGTATGAATTGGGAAGAACAGGAACTAGCAAGTTTCCTTGCTCCAATGCACAAATGTTAGATACACACATGCCTACATGCCTCGCTATTAGGGAAGTAAACCACTGCTAGATTTCCTTTTATGAGAAACCTGTGTCATTTTTTTATGATAAAGACCAAAGTAATCCTGCATGGTACCTCCTTTTGCAGCATTTAACTACACTAATAATTTCTTTTAAAATACTAAGCTACCTAAGTTGTAACTTACACTGTTACATGTTTAAAGAGAAATTGATAAGAACAAGCTGCTTTAACACAACTTCTAATCAAATAAACCATTAGAATATAAACCAGTCATCCAACCAAATGAAGTTCTCCCACATCTGCAGTAGTTTGAATATGCCAGCCTTCGTAGAAAATCCCAAAAACAAGAGCCTAATATGGGCTATTTCAAAAGACAAAAAAAATTATATTCAGTAACAGAGTATAAAGGAGTGTTCTAATAGGCAGGATCATGAACTAAGGCCACCCTGGCTTTGTACTTTCTGTGTAAAGTAATTTTCCTTTTTGGTTCTTTTACCAGCATCTTTCCTGACAGCCTCACATACTTCAGGAACCTATTCAAGAAAGGATTTGCTATTTTACTAAACATTTATGCAGGAATTAACACAGTGGGAACCTAATTTGGTTCCAATCTCTACACTAGTGGAATAGTAAAACATATGCATACAGTAATAAAATAAATGTCTTTCCTGCTCTTAAGAATGATTGAAAAAGAGAAACAAGTGCCATTCTATATGGATTCAGATACTGCTAATCTAATCATGCATTCAAGCAAACCTAAAATAATGCCCTATATATATAAATTTACAATAGTGTTCTTAACCTAAGACAGCATTCACACTATATTATTCTAACAAAATGAAACAAAGAGAGGAAATTACAAACACATGGTACTTAAAAAAAATTTCTCACACACATTCTGTTGCCTTCAGACATCTTCCTTCTGCTAGCACTGGCTGTTATCAGATTACATTTTTATAGTTAACTCGTTTGTTAGACACCTAGAATTATTTATGATTAAGTAATGACAAAAAAATCAGAATGCTGAGAACGCAAAAGAAGTCTCAGTGGGATATTACCAATTGTAACAAGCTTTAGATATTCCAAAAAGTTGGCAAAAATACCCAAATAAGCCATTTTCTCTCCTGGAAATAAAACCACTGTTAGCAGAATTCAGATAATTAAATATTATGATACAACCAGAAGTATAGTATATGTACACAGTTACAAAAAACCCTAAATAGTAGCATTCTTGTAAAAGCAAACAAAAAATATTTTAGAATGGAAACTTACTTGTGCATATTTTCCACTCCTATTATGATCATGATATAGTAGGAAATTCCACTTTGTATAACAAAATGTAAGGCATACCTAGGAAAAAAAAAAAGAAAACCCTGACAGCATTTTAATTAATGACAATAAACTGGATGCATATATTTATTTAACATGAAATTAAAGAGGTTCAAATTTTAACTCCATCACTGCTTCCAAAAAAAACCCTTTTGTTCTAGTCAGGTTTTCTGCAGCACTCTCTTCTGTTGAGAGCTTCCCCCTTTAGCATAGCACAGACAGCAGTAATGAACAAAAACTAGACTTAGCTACAATTCTCCATCTCATAAACAACAATATAGTAAATGCTGATAATCCTTAGAATACAAAGAATATGTCTCATAATACTTCCACTTGGCATTATTTCATGTGTAAAAACCATGAATGTTTTGTGGTTCAATTTCCATATTCATCTTTTTACCTGTTTGCAACAATAGGTATCTCAGATAAGGCCAACAATATCTTAATATCCACAATATCAGTATATAGGAAGATTTCCCAGTCAATAGAAATGGTAACACTGTCCAGCCAGTCTCTTTGCCCCGGGTCATCAATAACTGACAAAGGGATGGTGGTGATGATGGTCTCAAAAACACAAACAAAAAAAACCTACATGCCAACAACCCACAGATTTATTTCACAAAGGTGCTCTAACCTCTTCTCCTTATTTGTTTTCCACAGCTCACCACCATAGCTACCACACCACTGTTGTTTTGGGTTTGTTTTGGTTTTTTTTGAAGGAGTTATACTTCAGTAAGCTAGTAGAGCACTGGTGGCAAACCATTGCCAGTGTTTGGGGAAAAGCATCTGATCCTCAGTAAGTTGATTCTCTCTCACTCTGGTACTTCAAGTGCCTCAGTAGCATACTTATATGTGCTCAAGTAACACGTTGATCTAGTTTTGGAATTTTTCCCATAAAAAGCAGCTACTATTTTGTTATACTGATACTGTTTTCTTTCAGCTTATCATCAGCCATTTCCTAATTTCACTCCTCATCTATTCACAAGGAAATGTCTTCAAAGACTTTCAACAAGAAAGTGAGTTCTATCCAGCTAAAATCCTACAAAGTCTACACAAGATGAACTGAGGGAAAACAATTCACTTGGATATAAACTGACCTTGAAAATCTTGACTTTTTCTGGAAGATCCAATCTGCACATGCTCCCATGCTTCACTACTAGCTAGTCTCATCTAAGATATGACTACCTAAAGTTCAAATGCACATTTAATATAAGCAATTGCCAATTAAAAAAAATATTTACTTTTTGTTTTCATATCAGCCACGTATTAGGAACACTGTGTAGCAAAGACAGGCATTAGTGAAATGACAAAAATTTAAGTTTAAGTGTTTTGCTTCTTAAACAGAGAAAGGGACATATCAAAGGCTGAAAAACTATGGGTTGACATGGGAGTACCATATCAAGATTACAGTCTCTGAAAATATTTCTTTCAGAGTCAAGAGTAACAATATGATTGATCTCCAATTCAAAAATTAAAAGGGATGCATTTAAATACAACATGAAGTAGTAAATTTTAGCTACATACAAAGGGTATTCTAGGCTTTTCATGCTATTCGTTATTATCCCAAGGGAATTATCCCTTCTCTTCCTGTCCCATATCACCACCACAAGAACTACAGAGGTGACTGAAAACTAACACACCTGAAATTGAAATGGACAACATAATGAATAATAAATATTCTTAAAAAGGTGCAGATTCCAAACTATTTCCCACATTTAGGTTTGCATGAGACTATCTGCAAATCCCCATTTACTATAAACACTACACAAGGAAACAGTAACAGTTTCCCTTTTGTATACACACATTATAATACAATTGAAGAGTCCTTGAAGGTGTACCACAGGATTGTAACCTGTATGTATACCTGATTCCTTGGGGAGGGGTGAGGGGAACCAAACAAAACAAAACTCTCAAAAAACATGCCTGTATAATACTTAAGCAATAGAAAAAGGAGTTGGCACAAGTGCAACAGAAGTACCAACCTTTTAAAGAATGCGTACTTTTAGCGTCTCAAATTATGTTCTTTCTTTTTGGCATTTTTAAAAAGCTTCTAGTTCCATGATTGTATTAAAAAAAACCCCTTTTACTAAAAGAGAAATTCATTGCTAAAATAATTGTTTTAAGTACAATCCAAAGCAAAGTAGAATAATCTGGATTTCTACTATGGCATAAAATTTCTCTCTGATTTCTTTTCCAAGGCATATTGCCAGTGAGAGGCTTCTGCAAATCTTTACTTATGTCTGTTGAGGGTAGAGGCTGTTTCTTTCTAAAGTCTCCCATCCCCAAATTTCAGGTATGAATATATCATTAACACTTTCTAATTACAAGCTACAATTAACAATTTGTTTCAAAACAATGGATACAGAATGTGCTTCTAAAGCTTACACAGCTCTCAGAAAAACCACACACAGTAGCACTTGTCTCCCATATGATCCTCCTCATTTGGTGCTAAGACTGGAAGTCTTTGACATCAGATCATTCTCTCAAAGAAGAATACCATGGCCAGAAGTTTAAGAAATGCATGGGAGTTATGGAATTATATATACACAAGTAAATTGCACGTGTAAATCCAAAGAATAAAACTTACTGATTTTTCTTTTCCTAAATTTAGAAGTATTACATATCAACTAATGTTGAGAAGCCTCTGCAACATGCCAATGTAGAGGCCAAATCTGTGGTTTAGAATTCCAAGATTTATTTACACACACTCTGTGTGTGCAGGCACATGCGTGTGCACACTGTGTGCAACTTCCCACCTGCACAACAGCTTGTTAATTCCCCCTAGTTCAGTAGTACTCAACAATAGTCAGTATAAATAAGTCTTCTATACGCTTAGAGCTGAGCAAGCACTGTGTTTACTATGCAATAAAACAAAACTGGCACTTAATCTTAAACCATCTTAGGAGGATGAGAACCATTTAGAAAGCTAATTTTGAAGGGAAAAAAAAATGTCACCAAACTAAATGCATACCCTTTATTAGCCCTACTAACATTCTGGCTTGCTACGCTGTTAAAAGATCAAGATGTGAAAACAGCAGTCACAGCAAACTTGTATTAAAAAAACACAACCCAAACAAACAAATAAAAAGCCCATCCTCCATCCAAAACATAAAAAAGACACACACACCACCATCCCCACCCCCCCAGCCCAAAAACTCTCAAGTCAAGGCCAGCTCCTTTCCAGGTGTTTTATACTATTAGGAGCATCATCAGTACTGCAGTTCTGGCCACTCTTCCTACAAAAAGTCAGATTATATTCAATATTCAGAAAAAGACACAGCAAGTTCTCATGCAGTGAATATTTAAGAGAAATTATCTTAAGTCATCACACCTGTGTTTTGCCTCAAGAGAATACTTCTTAAGCAAGTTTACAGAAAAACTGGTACAAGTTAAACAAACTTCACCTGCTCCACCCTCCCAAAACCACAGGCAGACAGTATGTTAGTTACCAGTTTGCAAATGGAAGATCATTCAAAATTTGTTAACCACATCAGAAAATTTAAGCTATTTTCTGTACACTTGCAGCAGCTAAAAACCATAGAATTATGTAATAAGGTTCTTCATAACAAAACTTTGCTTCCCTGCAAACAAGAAATGAAAATGTACTAGTCCCTGAAAAGTGAATTTAAGTGCAACTTACCATCCAAAACAAAAAAGTGCAAGATAAAGGCCCAAGAGGGTTGCAACAACATGTCTTACAAATGGGCTAGTTTTGCTTGAATGAAGGTATGTTCGAAACCAAATGGCCGCAAGCAAGGCAAACAGTTGGCACACTACAAAGTTGACCTGCATAAAAAAGAAAAGAAAAAAGTTCTCACACACTTGTGTATTAAAAATTAACAGAAATATCCACACACTATTAGCAATTTGCAGAACCTCTGGCTCTGCCATGGCTCTTCCCACAGCATGTCAGCCTCAAAGAGCTTCTCCCGAGAGCCCCTCCCCTCCTAAAGCACAAAACATGTGCTGCTAAGAAGCTAAGCAGCTCCCCTGAGCAGCTAAGAATAAAAGATATATCAAACCTGTAGAGGCAGTCTGTCCATGAATCAAGAAAAAAAAAGTTACATATTTTCCTGTAAATTTTCTATGTACCAAACTATCAACCACGGAATCAATTCTACTCTCCCAGCAATGTGAAGGTCTGGGTTGGGTTTTTATTTGTTTTTTTTTTTTAAGAGAGCATGACTTGGAAATACATATCAGCTACACAAATCACTGACAGATCACTTCAGTGGCCTGTGTAGAAGCAGGGCTCAATGAAGTGCACTTCAGTGGTACACAATCAGATAAACAGCTTGGTTGCACACTGGATTTTCTTCTTGTACATTCAAGTAGGATAGTTTCAGAGATTCCTCCTCCCTTCAGGCTGTTTATTCTAGAAGATAGAAAATCTCTTGTATATTAAATATTGAAAGGCATTAGGGCACTGAAAGCAAAAGCAGAATTAAAAAAAAAAGCAAACCAGAGTAAAAAGAATCGTTCTGACTGTGGCCTGAAAAAAATTTAACAGTAAGAGCATGATAAAGAAATAATTTCTTCAAATACAGCAACTGCTACCAAAACTGGCTTAAGCTACAAAAAGCCAGATTAATTTCTTTATTTAGAAAAGAACATTTCCCATTCCATGGATTTTTTTCTTCCATAGAAAACTGCCTAACAACTTTCTGTGTCCAATAGCAGCACCCCAAGCCATCACAAGCAACAGCTTGGGGACCACTGCTTCAGGTCATAAGCACTTCAATGCAAGAAACTTGCACACCCCGCATGCTTGACTAATCCTTAGCACAACAATGTTTTAGCCTGTTTGATGTCACTTAGCTGAAATATATAGTTAACACCACAGGGTACAATGACAATATTATTTTTATGTTCATGACAGCAGGCATAGTACTGATGTTTGCACCAACACAGTGCACACCTCTAGTACTGTAATTCAGCTAGTCCATCATTTTTCAGCCAAGCTTCAGGCAGTAACAGGTAAGGATGACAGTATGCAAACACAGTTATATTTAAAGTAGAAGCTAAACACCACCAAATACCTACACAACTCTCATCTTTATAACAATTGCATACATTCCCCATTTGCAAATCCAAGGATAACTCCCCTGTTTCAGAACCACTCTAAAATCTTCTGTAATACCAAGTGACACAAGTATTAAGTGCTAACAAGGAAAGAGGCTCAGAAGGCAGGGCTGCTCTTTTTAACAGGAGCAGTTCCCTGAACTAAACAATCATGTAACACTTTGCCATCCATTCTCTTACTCCCACAATTCCATTATGCTTTTAACAGTATTTGAAAAATCCTAAATAAATGAGGAGACATTCTGTCAGGGCATAACTTGACCTGTTTTCTCTCCTTTATAATCAATGATGCAAATTAAATGGAGCGAGGTTTATAGCTCAGGATGAGGCTGTGGATTTAGTGGAAAAGTTTCATGCAAAACAGTCAAGTTTAATGAACCACTGAAAAGGAAACAAACTGATAACATTTTAAAAAGAGGACAAGAAAGAAAAATTAAAGCCAAAGTAATTAACTATGAATTCAGTATTGACATTTGTTTGGGATATTTATTACAAAAATTATGCTACATATACCACAGAGAACACTTCTCTTGAAACATTCATGGTGTTGGTGTTTTGGACACACAGCTAAATGACTCAAGCAACACAATCTTGTTCGGAAAGCCTTCCTCACAAATGACTCCAAAACTACTAGTGGGTATTTTTAAACTGCTCTTCCCAAAAAGTACACAAGCACATACATACTTTGATACATAAAAGACATCACCACAATGTTCACACACCACCCTGCATTCCTTCTCTACTCTTACCAATCCAATCCTTACACTTGCCTCACAGTGGACCGAAATGCAGATTAGAAAGCACCAATGGTTTTGCAGAACTTGTATCACATCAAATCCTCCCAAAGCTTTAAATACATGTTTGTAAAACCAAGCTATGCAGCAGTTAAGATTTGAAAGCCATGCAACTTCAGTTTTATACATGCCTGCTTCTGATAATACTCTTTCTGCTGCTTTATTCCATTTTCCCCATCAGGATTTCTGATTCACTCAGCAAATGGACATTGCCCAGTTTTGCCCTCACCCTACTACCCATTGAATGCTTACTATCTGCATCCTACACCGAATAGAAAAACCTTACATTTTCCCATAGACATGTATATGCAGATGTGTCCATAACGTGGGAAGACTACATACAATAAACGTAAACTTTGTGAGATCAGTATTCCTATTCCTGTTTCAAAGGTGGGTGACTGGCACGCAATGATGAAAGCCCAAAGGGTATAATAAATGTCCACTAACTTTGGTTGCCCAATTTCAGACACCCAGTGCCTAGTTTTTCAGTCAGTACTTTTAACAGAAATTTAATTGGAGATGTGCTTTGAGAATATAACTTCAGCTGCTATTTTGAATATCCAGCATGCCTATAAATCAGGCCCGAAGTATCTCAAAATGCAAGCAAAACTGAAAATCACCACTACAACTTATTTTCATTACATTGTTTCTCCAGGTCACCAAAAGTCTGCTTTACTAGTGGTTTGTATTCCAAATAAGGGAAGGAGCTTGTATGGAAGAGTTTGTGACCATTACTGGGCTGTGTTATAGTCACATAGGTAATCTTTATCTGACACTTTTTCTGACTTTTGAGCATCTGCTATCACAGGCCATATATTCACTTGGTAAACACTTTGAATATCTGATTTCTTACATTTTAAAAAGAAATGGGAAACACAGCATTTCTACCACTAAGTCAAAGCTTAGCCATTTGCTATTACCTGTGGCTTTCAGTCCAAAGCACAGACTTCCACCATTTCAGCTATCAGAAACATGTACTCATTTCCACTCAGAAATAAGATTAATCCCTTGCCAATACTATAGGGGATAGAAAGAGAAACAGACTCTGTGGGCTCCCAGATTCCAGTTGTCCTCACTTCAGATGCTTTGGTGTGCATTGTACAGTGGTGTCCAAACACACAAACCTGATTTCTTTTAAGCTAAACTGAAGATCTGCTCCAAAGGCAAGTGGACATGTAGCCCATGGACTGACCTAGGCAAAAGCAGTATTTACCAAAAGCATTACAGCATCAGTGCTGGATCCCCAGTGCCAACCACTTCATTCCACAGAAACACCCCTCCTGTATTGTACTACTTGCTGAAGTAAACAAAGCCAAAATTTAACATTCAGCCTTTTCTTAATTACATCTCCCATCTTTACCCACATTGACCAGTGTAGAGCTGACATATACAGCTCCACTGTATCCACACACTGAGATACATGAAGAACTGAAGATACACAACTTGCCTTGCAACAGAGCACAAAAATTACCCAGCTTCCTAGAAAACAAACAGAACAGCCATTCAGAGAGCAAGCAAGCAGGAACAAAGACAGAGCTGAACATCACCATCTTGAAAGCTTCCACAAAACCCAGGCGCTTAACCAAGCAGTTATTTTGTTAGCAAATGTTATATACAGTAACTTCAACATCTGGGAGTGGTATATTTGCATACTTTTTGGAAACTTATGTCAAGCTCTTGTAACATTGTGAGTATGGGCAAAATACAACTGTTAAGCACCTCATGACTTGGTCAGATGTGAGCAGAACACCCACAAAGAACAAAGATGACACATTCCTAAAAGCTGCATGATTCATTCCTCAAACTAAATTGTGACATGCCTCCCCAAAGTCATAAAACCTGTTCGAATAAGCAGCTCCAGTTTTATAGAAGAAATAAAAAGAAAAAAAAAAGAAAAACAAACCAAAACCCCCAAAAACCACCCCAACAACTGATCCACTTAAAGCTGAGAATTCCCAGGGGAAAAAAATTTTGATGCAGATGCACGGAATAGCAAGTTTCACCCTGAATAGTTATAATTTAGCACATGTATAAGAAAAACACAGAATTTTTTACCTCCTCAGATACAGGTCATATCAACAGTTCGGCTTATGAGAGTAACACCTCAAAGTCCCATATAGAGATAAATGTGTAATGGAAAGTTATGTGCACATAAGAATAAAAAACTTAGAATGATAATGCAAATTATCAGCACTGGTTATTCAGCAATGATTAATGTAGGTGTGTTAAATATCACTTAGACACACTAAGCTGTTACAAAACCTGCTGTACATATTCTAGCAATTTAAAAATTAAATCCACTATTTTGGTGCAAGACCAGTTGTACAGCCAGTGCAGTTTACAGACACACTTTGTGTGTGACAATAAGACATGAGCACAAATTCAGTTTCAGTGTTTGGAGTAGCTACATAAAATGCAAATCCATTATATCATTAACTGCATTAAGCTATCTACATAACATATTTTCTATTTGCATGACCTGTGCAAAAGTCAATGGAAAGTTTGTAATAAAACTTTTAAAGACATTTATTCTAGTCTTTTTAAAATTTAAATGTAATTTATGCCATGCATTTCTAAAACCAAAATTATTTCTTAGGAAAAAAAAGTGTTTGAGGGATCAATTCTTTACATAAAGCAAAAGAAAAGGAGAAAAAGGTCACTGACTGCTACAAGGATTTTCATCATTAAGAGAAAGTTTTGGCAAAACATTTCATTTGAACAACTTTCCAACACAGGAAGCTTCTTTAATAAACCATTAAAGAAATTTTTTAAGCTCATGTTAGAAAGAAATAGAGAAGAAAATATTATTTCTCCTATGAAGCTGATTTTTTATATGTGCAATTTTTATCCACTAATTCAGATTTTAGGCTAAGCTTCTTCTTCATATCAGCTACATTTTAATATCAAAAG